TTTGTAGGTTTTATTTGCTTTCTTTTATATTTTGACAGCTAGTAAAGCGATTTGTTTATAAAACAATCCATGTACTCTACAAGCTTCTAATAATTAAATTTCAATTTTTCTTAGCCGTCTAATTAAAAACTAATTTTTAATCAACTTAAAAAAATTAATTCTGTTATTAAATCGAGTTTAAATATTTGTGACAAGTTCTGTGCATGTTATCTCTCTTAATCAGAGCGTTTGTTAGTAAACTTTAAAATAACTTATTTTTTTTTATTTATTAATTTTTACTTTTTTATTATGCCCGCCCCGACCAGTAAAACCTCGGCTTCGCCTCGGTTTTGCAAAACCCCTTCCCCGGGGTTGCGTACTTTCGGCTGGAGAGCAAGAAAAATAGTATACAACCCATGACCAAAATGTTGGATGCCCTGACGTATGTGATATGATAGCCTCGGCCATCATATCACATACGCCAGGAAATCCAACTTTCTGGCCTTGGGTCGTAATATACTAATTATTTCATCAATAAATTGTAAAAAACAAAAAAATTGCAAACTAATGACTCGTGAAGTTATTAACTTGCTGATTGGATTCATATTCTTTTGTTGAATTTTGAGCGCACGTTTTAACGAGGCTATCAATGCTTGTTTTAATTAGCTGAGTACGTTTTCATGGGATTATGATAGAGTCAAATACTCAAAGAAAGGCCATTGAAATTTATAATATAAAATAAAGATATTATATCTCTCTGAATAAATGAAAATTCCCTAAATTTACTGCAGAGTCGAGAATATCTTCATTTAGGAAGTAATGTAGAATCTACTTCCATTTCGGCTGTCGAGCGACCCTTAGTAATTAATAAAGCATTGTATGCATTAATGCTGTTTCCTACTTGCGTCTCTTATATTAAAGATTCAGTCTGAATAATGAGCTTTTAGAATTTTATAAAAAATACATTAAATGATATATCTTTCTCTTGAAAAAATTCTAATTTTTAGTTGATTTTAAAAATAAAATGACAATTGTCTTCGTGAGCTTTTGAAAAATTTTGCTATTTTTCAGCGCAGCTAGAAAATAGTTAATTAAATAATCTATCGAGTAGTAGAGCGTTCTTTGCAAAACTTTTCTTTGCTGAGGAAAAATTCATGAAGCTGTAATAGCTTGGAACGCCTCTTAATATAACTCAACATACTTATGCTACTCATTTGGAAATTATCCAGGTCAAGTTCGAAGATAAGCTAGATCAGTCTAATAGTTCAAGTATCACAGGAATTCAAAATTTAAAAAAATACACTAACCCATTTTCGCTAATTCTTTTTGAAATAACTTCTAAAACGCGGTAAGTTAATTAATTTCTGTAAAATTCATCTAAAAGCTCATTAAGTAATTTTGCATTTCTACGTCTAATTATTTTTATAGTCTAAAAGACACTTTTTTATCCATTTGATATTTTACTATTGCATTCCTTTTAACGTTTCTAAAAATTTTTGGTAGCACTGAGATTTACATCCATTTCGGATGCTGAATGCCTTTTTATTAATATTGAACTCAACTTCACTCGCACTCTATCCGTCATTTTGGCTCATTCGAAGTTATTTACTCGAAATCAACTGGGAAATTTTTTGAAGAAGGACGTTATACGCTTCTGGCGTCTCTTTTCAAACCTTTCGTCAAATCGATAGAGACAAAAAAAAAAAAATAATAAAATTTTTTATAAACCGATCTTATATTCACATCTCACGGAATTATTTATAAATAAATTTAATCCCACGAATATATTATCTATTATTTTTGAAAATATATCACTCCTATCATTTTTCTCTTCCTGTCAACAAAATATTTAAAGTGGTCCCAGATGCTTCCACCCTATGTATTTGAATTTATAAATTTACTTCATTACACAATATTGCGATGATGAATTTTCCAATAATACCGTCATAAATTATTGATGATAAATTTATTTAAAAATTTATAAAAAATAAATTTATATTTGATTTTCAACGTCAATTTTAATTTTTAAGTGAGAATAAATCATATCCGTCCTCAAGACATACAATTTCATAAATTATGTGGTTATATTTAATTAGGCGTTATGGTATATTCGTAATTATTATTATTATTATTATAATTGTTATGTTACATTTTAAATAAAATATCTTTATTATTACTAACATTATGTACGCGAAATTTCAGTATGTGTTTTCACATTTAGTTTAATGAAGCATTGTTAAAATTTATGTAAAGAGTTGTGAATTATTGTTATTAAGGGCTCAAAAATATTGCATGGAAATCACTCCAATCTTAATTAAATAAAATTGTAGAGAAACATTATTTGATGTATTTTGATAACGGTAATTTGTTTTACAACCAAAGTTCATTTTATGAGTCCCTCTACTTGGGTCTGAGTGCAACATACTTTCTCACTTACTCTTATGTTCTGTTATTCATCTATGTGTTTGTGTATACGTAAGCGCATTTACCCATAGACAAAGACATACATTTGTACTGTCTACATTAATTTATTTATTAAAATCGTATAAATAAATATGTACTCGAATCTAACATTTCTTACGTTTCCTTGAATTTAATTATTTATTTCTAGAAATATTTCTGTTTTGTCGTTTTATAATTTTGTTGTATTATTTTAAAATTTAATTGTTTAATATTTGTTTATTTTTAATTATTTAACTTTCAAGTTCTATTTTTTTATTTCTCTTTCATTTCATATTTAATTTTGTTGTCTAAGAATTATTTCGGAAAGTGCAATATCAAAATTTATTTCAATATTTTTCTCAACACTAAAATTCTTTCATTAAGTTATTCTAAAATCTTTCGGTTTAAAATAAACCTTTTATCTTGTTCTTTATCATTACTTAAGTATTTCTTATTTTAAGTATAAGTGAGTTTGCTTACGTATAACAAAACTCCCATTTATCTATTTAATCTCTTTAAAATACCTGGGCCCTCAGACTAATTACGGGAATTTTCCTAGGCCTTTTGCAAAGATCGAACGAGACACTTAATGACCACACTCGAATTATCTTTTACAATAGTTAAAATTTAAATAAAATTATACTCGATTTTTTATAATTAATAACTATGTAAAGAAAAATTTCTTTACATAACACAATTGTCACAGAAAATTTTTCTCCTACTAAATTATATTTTTGCGAAATTTTTTTGTGTATATTCCTTGAGTCTTGTAAAATAAAATTATTAACAAATTTTATTTATTCGACTACTACGTCAACGAATTGTCAATTTCCGTTATTGACATCCAAAATTTCTATTGAAATATTTTTTATTTTCTTCTTTGCTTAAAATTTTCGGTTTTTACGTTTTTAAATTTTTGTCGGGCCCATAATAAACTACGCGCCGAAGAAATTTTTTTTCGATCCGAGATATTACCCGAAATAGAAATCTACCCCGTACTAAATCATCCCAAACCGTGGAATCCTTCGAGGACGAATCGGGAAAGTTCTTCTTCCCTTGCTCAAACGACTTTCCATTCGGAGTCATGGCTAGGAGAACTTTCCGTGTAGATACCTCCATAGCTGAGGAAAAGCTTACTACCTAAATACAAACTTTAGCTAAAGAACTCCACGATGCCCTTCCGTACTTCAACGGGGAAGGACCAACCGCCGTCAATGATTTCGAATTATTCGACGGGATAGTTAGAAATCGGCTACCAAGCGTTCCAGCGAATAACCAAAACTTCTTTGCTCGCCGTGTAGCCCAAAAAACTATGCGGACGAGCCTAAAGATTAGTCGAAAATGTCGAGTTAGCCTCGGTAGAAGATATCCTACTAGTCTTAAGTCGAAAACTCAAAAGGGGCGACCCCTACATTACGTGGCAGAAAAACTTAGCCGCGGCGTCCCCAAAAGAATCCGAAAACATCGAGGATTTCTATTATCGGTTAAGCGAGATGATTACTCGTATTGAGCTTAACGCTCCTGCCGACGATAGGGCCGTAGTAAAACGAACATTTGAAAAAACAGCTGCTAATACGTTGTACGAATACTTACCAGACTTTTTACGATGCCTGTGTAAAATCAAAAAGGCAGAGACGTTAACCGAAATGTATAAAGCTATCGAAAGCGACGCGTACAGAAGACCAGGACATAGACGGCCTATGAGAAACGATGGACTCACACCAGGAGAATCACTTCCACCTTCAGTGGAATTTTCCAGACGATCAAGACAAGACGGTAACCGACATTACCCACAAATGCCGAGATTCTCTCGAGATTGTACGACGACAGAGGTAATTATCGCGAATTACCTCGCACTTTAACGTATCAAGAACACGGTCAAACTCCAATGACAAGCTCCTCTGGACCAATACACTCGACAGACTATTACGAAGACCCATTTCCTGACACGTACGAAGACAGTTACTACGGTCCGGGCTATCAGAGAGAGCAACAAATGATGGGCTCAACCTTCGCGTTCGGAACCGAACGAAATCCTCAATATGGGCCTAGGGCTCATAATTTCTATCAACCGCGAACTTTTCAAAATTATAATCAAAACCGTTATCACCCGGGTGTAATAGGTCCCACTAGAAGAACCGTTCGTTTTGAAGACGATGAAGACTCGGAGGAGGCTAAATTGCGGCATAAATCGGACCCTTCGATAATCTGCAACTGTCCATTTTGCCCAAAAGAAGAACGTCGAGACGTACACGATTATTTAAACGGGTCGGGCGCTCGTCAATCGGAGGCAATGGCGAGTATGCCCGTCCAGTCTCCGTCTACTACAATGAGAGCCCCCAACAGTTACCAGCAGTATCCAAAGGGCCAATATCGAGGCTTCCAGAATCAATACCCCGGATCGATTCTTCAAAACTCCCAGAAGCACATCATAGAACAACAATCGACGATCACGGAACCGATGCCTCTCCCGAGACCAGAACAACAATCAGCACAGAGCAATGTGATGTCACCAGGACAATAAAATCCGCAACTGATGACTGCAGGAGAGTTGCGAGCCCAATCAAGGACGAACCCAAATGTCTAACAACAGGAAGAGGCCCTACAGTCCATCTACGAAGTCCAGCACTTCGAAACGAGGGAGTAAACGCTCTTCTCGACACTGGCTCTCGACCTCAATTTGCTTTGTATTGAAGAACTAAACGACGAAGCCCTTTGCAACATCGAAAATACGGGAGTAGTCGGAGGTATTGCCACGAGCTCAATGCCCATAACCGGTTCGATTAGTCTTAAAATATTCAGCGCAAAAATTACGTTCCATCTCGTTCCAGAACCTCTCGGCGGTTATATAGCCATTCTAGGAAACGAATTTTTCGTCCAAAATCGTGTTAATATCTCATTTTACTGGAACGCCTTAGTAATGAAAAATAAACCTATAAATCCAATACCAATAATTAACCCACGAAAGTTCCCTGAGCAAAAGATCCTCGCTCTAGGAACTGGGCCGAAAATATATTTCTCGTGTAATCAGCTCCTAGGGAATTATCAGCTATTCCTCATCGATACCAGGGGGGATGTATGCCTCATCAATGCACCCGCTTTAAAACCCGAAACAATTATCGACATTGGAAAAGCTAGAAGATTCCGAGGTCTCAGCGACAGTACCTTCGAGACTCTAGGAGTAGCCAAATTAAAAATTCTTAATATTGAAGTAGAGTTTCAAGTTTGTCGCGAGGATTTACCATTCCCTGGAGTAGGAACCCCGGGAAACAACTTCCTTGAAACCGAAAAAGCAGAAATTTCCTACAATAATCAATCTTTAACTTTATTATCTCGCCCTACAAAAATAATCTCCTTTAGCCTTGAAACAACACCTTCCTCGAATTATACAATACCACCTCGTATGAAAATGGTAATAGCAATACCTGTCCAAGATTTCGAGAAGAGCGAGGGATACCTCCCTCGAATGGATCTTCCAGATCGGGTGCTCGGAGGAGAAGCTGTTGTCAAAGTAGAGGATGGTGTAACAGGGTACTTTGTTACCTCTGGTAGTTAGTTTGAACCGTTGCGAGTTCAGTAAATTATCAACGCGACACCAGTGCGCGATGGTCTCGGGCATTTTAGGTAGTGGGGAGAGTGACGATAAGCCGGGAGCCAAGCACGAGAAAAGCAGCAGCCGGCGGACAAGAGAGAAGAGGTTGTACTACCGAACGTTCCGGACGCACTATGGAAAACTCAGGTAATTATCCAGTCGCACGTTCACTTAATTGGAACGCAAGCGATGTGTAGTAATTATTAATTGTTTCCAATTGATAAATTACATTATACTAATCCTAATTGGTACGTCTAGGAAATATTGTTGCGGTTGTAAGAAGTACAATATCCCCGAGAGTACGAGCAACGACGAGGCGGCAGCAGACCCAAGCCGTAGCTGTGAGTTGGCGGGAAGCAGTTCGTCGGATTGCAAGGTACTTTGTCAAGTCTCGTGGGCAAAAATTCGACTGTGGGCTGTCCCCGGTCTTATTTACTCTTCTGGACGAGGTTAATTGTTTTAATTGGGTTTTATCGAATTAAAATAATTGTTGGGGTTATTAATTAAATTAATTATTGGTTAAAACAAGTTGTCAGAAAACCCTGTGGTCCGACACCCGGGAACTATTAGTTAACCTTGAGACGTAGTTGGTGTTAAGATAATTACGCGCCATTTTATAGTCAGCATTATGAATTAATTTAATTAATTATTGAGAATTTCGGTTGAGTAAAATTATTTATTTATTAATACTACTCGGTTAATTAATTTTAAATTATGGATCGTTTATTGTAAAATTTTATTAGAAAGTGGTGAAGAGTTTTGTTACCACGCAGTAAGTTTTAACTGCGCGTCTAAAATTCGCAAGTCACGTTTACTGGCGTCACATGTATTCTATTGTGTTGGAAATAGTCGCCGGACAATTTCGTTAATTCGGTTAGATAATTTATAATTAATTTCAATAAGTTCTGGTTGGGTTATGAGTGATAGAGAGTGAGGTCGTGAATGAATAGCTTCTGAGATATGGTACGATCTTCCCTCTATATCAGAAGTTTACATATAATATCGGTTAATTGGTAATACGGAGTATTGGTAAAGGAAAAGTGGAGGTCATGCGGTCCTCGTACCCGTGAATTATGGTACGGTTTCCCCTCTGTTTCGCGGGTATTAGTTAAGGAGTTATTATATGGAAATTTTGGCAATAGAATTTATAGAGTGCATGTGAGTGTGATATTGTTGAATAAATAATTGGTAACCACGAGTTATTGATTTTATTCATTTCCAGATAATTTCCTAAATCTCTCTACCCTGTAGATTATCTCTCATGTCTCCTACGGTTTCCAGGACACCGTTGTAACAACCTGGTGGCGCCTTAAATTTAACATCTTCATATAATAGTCTCATGGTATTTGGAGTTAACATCTAACTAATAATTTAGGCTGCTATTGAACGGCGGAAATAAAAACACCCCGTTACAATGGATACGCTACGTGTATGGTTATCAATCTCAACTAGTAGATAAACAGGGGACTCTACCCCCTCGGTAAAACAGATTGTGGGCTCTGATCCGAGCTATTTACCGACGGATGGTAAGCGACATTTGTGATTTCGGTAGGTATCTGTTTTACCAACAGTCGTTAATTTACCACCGGTCGATAATGTGCTACCTTTTTTGTCTGCTGTCGGTGTTGGGGGGGGGTACGGCAGCCATTTTCTAGCCGATGTCCGCCATTTCTGGCCGACTCCGCCTCTGCCCTTTATGACTATTTTGCAATCGCAATGACGCCTTAATTTTTGGGTATAGTATGATCACTTACCCCTTCTTCATATCTTGATGGTTAAATTTTCTTGTTTTAAGTTATGTAAAGTGGGGATCATTAAATAATTAACTCATGATTTTACATCTTTCTGTTCAGTCTATTCTGATTGTTCTTGTGAGCTTCAAATACTCGCACAATGGAATACATAATTGATTTTAATGGTTTCATTATACCAGATGGTGTGTTTGTTGTTAAAGAAATATGTGTAATACAAGTTCGTAATGAATCCTTGACTTATAATGTCTACGATTGTGAGCATTATGTGTTTCGTCCACCTGAAAAATACATCAATGCATTGATCATGCGTGAAAATCAAGATCAAGACGGAAATAAACATGGTATTTTGTGGGATTATGGTGCATCACCTTATGAATTTTTCGAACAAAAACTCAAGGCTTGGGTGCAAAATGCTCGCTATTTTTACGTTCTTGGATCTCAAAAACACAAGTGGCTGGAACATCTAATTGATAATGCTGTTCCAATCATTGATATTGAACACATGAGATTTTATTCACCTGACAATGTGGAAGATTTCGCAAAAGTGAGGTGTTCGATTCGTGAATTTCATTCTAAAAGAGGGAGGTTCGCATGTGCATTTCAAAATGCACAACAACTCAAGCATTGGTTTATGGACTATTGGGGAGTTAAACCATCTTATGAAAAATCAGTGCAAATATTTTATCAACTGGCTGATCTCCGTAAAATGCACCCTCTTGACATTGCTTGTTTGGATGATCATTTTATATTGAGATTTGCTAAGAATCAAATTTGCCATGTTTGGCTCAAATTTTCAATTAATTTGCAAAATAATGAAAAAATTATGGATTATAAATTTTGTGTTAAACATCATAAGGAAGGATGCGTAGACTGGGACATATCAGAAATTTATATGTATCCATATCAAAAAGATTGTTATACTTATAATTCTAATAAATAAATATCTCTGACTTAAAAATTTGTTTACATGTTTTATTTTAGGTTATTTTTTTTTTCTTAATCTTATAGTTATTTGATAATTTTTATGGAATATCTTAAGAGTTATGAATAATTTAACCATTGTTTTAAAAAATTATTTATTTTTTATTGAAAAAAGTTTTTTAATTAGTACAGGTTCTATAATTTTACTTGATTGCTCAATTTTCAGCTGAAATAATTTTTTTCTAACTTTACTTGTCCTTTTAATTCTTTCTCTAAATCTCTCTCTATCTCTAGCTGCTCTTTCCCATTCTCCTTGTCTCGCAAGTTGATATGCTGAAGCCCAAACATGCATGTAATGCATAGTCGGTGTCAAATTAAATCTAACAGTCATTGTTTTGTTTTACATTAATTTTCGCACAGTGTTGCTTATAGGCTTATATTCAATAATACGATCGTGAATAATTAGACAATACGCAGTTGTATTAGCTGGAAATGGAGCTAATGATTCAAATTCCAATCTAATATCTACTGGTCCAGATTTTATAGCCTCGTTTTGCTTGGAGCAGTCGATGACACAAAGTGGTGCTTCTTGTAAGAATTTTTTCTTAGTCAATATCGGTTCTGCTTCTTTATTGTAGTATGACGTTTGAAAGTTCGAGTACATATCATATAATAAAGCATACTGGTTGTTATTTATATTTAGATTCAAGTCCCCATAAGGATAGCTTTGAGAATTCAAAGATAGCTTGATGTTTCGAATCTCGCAATGATCAAATTTACTGGAGTTCTTTGTAGCATCATTCTTTCTTGCTGTTTGAAATCCAAGAATCACACAACGTGGCTTCTCTAGCTGTGTTGAGGTTTTGACAGCCCAAATTTGATTTGAAGTTGCGGGTAACAATGGATATTCATATAATTCCCAAGTTCTGAAACTTATTGGAATAGCTGGATCGCCAGTAATATAATTCAATGTTTGGATTTTTTCTTTGTCTGATGGTGTTATGTATGGCATAATCCATTCAATTTTTTGAAGAGTAACTTTTACATTTTCTACTGCTGCGTTCGTTTGTATATAAGCATTTATATCAGTATTAGCTATTGTAAGAATGATTTCAAGCTGAACATTCATTAGAATTTTTAAATAATCTTCTGCGAAGCCACACAATATATTCAGTGGAATGGATAAATCAAAGTATCCTTCTTCATTGGTGACTTCAGTTCCATCATTTATATACCAGCCGGCATTTTCCAAATTGCTTAATTGATTTGGACTGAAAGACAAATATTCTTTTATCTTACTGGTGATACCAACATTGGTATTTCGATCAATTTCAACACCATTCATCAATAACCGGAATTCTTTAATCATGTGACCAATGCTCATGTTGACAAGCTTCGTAGTAGCAGCAACAGCGGTGTTGTCGTCTTTTGTAAATTTACCAAGAACATGTAGTGTACTTTTGCTCGGAAGTATGTACAAATTCTGATTTTGAATGGTAATACGCACTTCATCATTGTTATTCAGTGTTGATGAAGCATACGGTTGCCGCAGAGAAGGGTAGATGGACGCATCGTCTCATACCAAAGATCGACATTTGGCTGAACCGGAATCACGGTGAGGTCAACTACTACCTAACACAGATGTTGTCAGGACATGGCTGCTTTCGGGTTTATCTTCACCGCTTTAGGCATGACGACTCTCCGGAGTGCCCGTCCTGCCCTGAAGCCACTGAAGATGCAGAGCACGTTTTTTTCGAGTGCTCGCGTTTCAATCAACAACGTGAGGAGCTAGAGAAGATCCTGAAGAAGACAATTCAACCAGAGTCAATCGTAGAAGCAATGCTGTCTTCAGAAGCTGCCTGGAATGCAACGAACACTTTTGCCACAGAAGTGCTTACAGAGCTGCGTTCCATCGAGAGAAAAAGAGCAAAAAAAAAGAATCTAGAAGGAAGATAACATCTTAGCCACCAGAAGGAAGAGCGGCAGCTAATTCCTACCAGAAGGAAGAGCGGCAGCTAATTCCTACCAGAAGGAAGAGCGGCAGCTAATTCCTACCAGAAGGAAGAGCGGCAGCTAATTCCTACCAGAAGGAAGAGCGGCAGCTAATTCCTACCAGAAGGAAGAGCGGCAGCTAATTCCTACCAGAAGGAAGAGCGGCAGCTAATTCCTACCAGAAGGAAGAGCGGCAGCTAATTCCTACCAGAAGGAAGAGCGGCAGCTAATTCCTACCAGAAGGAAGAGCGGCAGCTAATTC